CCCCAAAAGCGGGCTGCTGCCGCGCCGCTGGAAACCAGCCCGTCCAGGCCCTCCTCCTATGGTCGATCCCCCTACCTCCCCCTCCTCCTCCTCCTCCTCCCGCGCTCCTCCTTCCTCCTCCTCCTCTCTCCCTCCTCCTCCTCTCCTTCCCTCCTCCTCCCTCCTCTCTCCATCCTCATCCACTCCTCCTCTCGTCCTCCTTCTCTCCTCCTCCCTCCTCCTCCTCCTCCTCCCTCCTCGTCCTCGTCCTCCTCTCCTCCTCTCCTCTCCTCCTCCTCCTCTATCACATTCCCCTCCCCCTCCCCTCCTCCTCCTCTCCCTCCTCCTGCTCCTCGTCCTCCTCATCCTCCTCTCCTCCTCGTCCTCCTCGTCCTCCTCCTCCTCCTCCTCCTCCTCATCGTCGTCCTCCTCCTCTCGTCTCCTCGTCTTTCTAGTCCTCCTCGTACTATCCTCGTTCTCCTCCTCCTCGTCCTCCCTCCTCCTCCTCCTCCTCCTCCTCCTCCTCGTCCTCCCCTCGTCCTCTCCTCGTCCTCCTCTCGTTCTTCCTCTTCCTCCTCGTCCTCCTCCTCGTCCTCCTCGTCCTCCCCCGTCCTCCTCCTCGTCCTCCTCCTCGTCCTCCTCCTCGTCCCCCTTCTCCTCGTCCTCCTCATCCTCCTCGTCCTCCTCGTCCTCCTCATCCCTCGTCCTCCTCCCCGTCCTCCTCTTCGTCCTCCTCCTCCACCTCCTCCTCCTCCTCCCCCTCCTCACGAGACTCCAAGACGCAGCCAAGTGGGCCACAGAAACCCCAAAGAGCCCCCAAGAAGCGCCCCACGAGCCCCCCAAATGTCCCTACTACCTCGGGAGCACGACCCCAGCGCAGCGGCAGCATGGGCCAGAAACCACTAGATTGCCGCCCTCGCACGAAAAAACGCCACGGTCCCTTGCCTCCGTCCCCCTTCGGTCTCTTGCGCCCAAAGAGTTCTCCTCGCAGGGTCGGTGGATTCGGCCGTAATGCCCTCGCACTAAGCACAGGATGCATCAAGGCTGCTGCAGCACGACCTCCCATTCCAAGCCCCCTCCAAAGCTCATGCATATACTACTACTACTGTCCACCATTGGGAACGCCCGCTTCAAAACAATCGCCCCGTGTGCCGGGGTCCCGGGATCCGGGACTTGGGACCCAGAGCGCACGCGCGGGGCCCGGACCTGGCACGTGGGACCTGGCGCCTGGGACTCGGGACCAGGAGCGCGCGCGAGGGACCTGGAAGCATTCACGCAAGAACCCCGTTTCGAAAAGGACCGCCCTCCATCATGGCAACACTGTAGATGCCAAACGACTGATGATGATGTGGAAGGATGTGCTAAACAAGAACTCAACTTGCACAAGGGACCACACTCCACTGTGCAGATGATCCATGTGTTGAAGTGTTGAAGTTTCGGATCAGAAAGCCTGAGGCAATCTCAGGCGAGAGCACGATTTTGAAAAGGAGCCGCCCTGCATCCGTATAAGCGTTCGATTTCGAGACGAATTCGCAGCACTGAGGCGAGGGCCACATACTGACAGAAAATCATTTGTGCTGCATCTGTCTAGCTGTTGGTGTCGTTTTTCACACATGTACGTGGCGGTAAAGAAAGAATCACATTTTGAAAGCCACCTCAGCTCCATCTGAATAATAATTGAACATTCTTAAGACGGATATGCAATCAGGGGATGGTGGTGGAGGCGTCGGGAGACGGAGACTGACCGTGGGCGGGAAAAATCTCCATACCCACGGCCTTGGAGACCTCCCTGGCCCTTTGGAGGCCTCCAGGACCCCCAGAGACCCAGGAGACATCTCCAGACAACCCTGGGAGGTGGGGAGGGGATAAGCGCAGGGATGAGGAAGGAGGTAGGGAGGGAGGAGGGAGGGCGTGAGGGAAGGGGGGGGTGATACTGCTGCTGCTGCTGAGGATGAGGATGCTGATGATGCTGATGATGATGCTGATGATGATGAGGCTGATGATGAGGGTGATGATGAGGATGATGATGCTGCTGCTGCTGCTGCTGATGCGAAGCCTAGAGAAACAACCAACATGCGTGAACGATGCTGCAATGCGCCCACCCGGCCTAAGACCCCTCCCCATGTGCCCCTGCAGTACTTCTGCTTCACGACGGGAAGCGCACCCTCAAAAGACGAGCGCTCCATGGTCCTGCACTTCAGGGGAGAGCCCCGTTTTGAAGAGGCGCTGCAATACATACTTCTAGACATCAAGACGGCGACGATGCATGGCATTCAGATCTACAAATGGGTGTCCAACGAGAGCCCCGCTTTGAAACGGAGCCGCCCTCAATCCTGCATGCCTCCAAACTCCCAAACGTCTGGTAGTACAACCTGAGGAACACGTCAACATTCGAGAAAGATGTGCGCCGCGCAACGGCGAACACCTCATGTGGACGCGAAACCGCCCTGCATCCGTGCAACTGTGGACACTTTTAAAATGAGTGTGCGCGGCGCCAAGGCTAGAGACGCCCATACCGCCGTCCATCCGTGGAGCGGTTTGGAAGCTTCTGCGCCGAATGCTCGCGGCACTAACAACGAGAACCGCATTTGGACCCCCCTCCATCCGTGTAGCGGCTGGGGAACTTGTGCGACGAATGTTCGCGGCGCTGAAACGAGAAACACATGTGGACCCCCCTCCACCCGTGGAGCGGTTGGGGAAATTCTGCGATGAATGTTCGCCGCGCTGGAGCGATAACCGCATTTGGACCCCCCTCCATCCGTGTAGAGGCTGGGGAACTACTGCGGCGAATGTGCGCGGCGCTACAGCGAGAAACACATTTGGACCCCCTTCCATCCGTGGAGCGGCTGGGGGACGTTTGTGACGAACGTTCGCGGCGCTAAAGCGAGAACCACATTTAGACCCCCTCCGTCCGTGTAGCGGTTGGGGGACTTCTGCGACGAATGTTCGCGGCGCTAAAGCGAGAACCACATGGGGCCCCACTCCATCCGTGTAACATATCGACATGTTTTAAACGAATGTGCGCGGCGTTGCGGCGAGAACCACATTTTCACAACGACCCTCCCCATCCGTGTGACTGTCGGACGTTCCTACTCAGCTGGCCATGCACGAGGAGGGGGGTCTCAAGCAAATCTCCTGGCCAGCAGTACCGACACGCCTTCTGGTCAGATTTCTACAATGATAAAAGGATGGAGAACAATGGGGGAGGAGGAGGATGATGAGGAGGAAGGCGAACACCACATGGGACCCCGCTGCATCCGTGTAGCAATCGACATGTTTTAACGAATGTGCGCGGTGTTACGGTAATAATCACATTTTCACAACGACCCCCTTCCATCCGTGTGACTGTCGGACGTTCCTAGCCAGTTGGTCATGAACGAGGATGGGGTCTCAAACGAATCTCTTGGCCAGCACAACCGAAACGTCTGTTGGTCAGATGTCTACAGGGATAAAGGGACGGAGAAAAATGGGGGAGGAGGGGGAAGATGACGAGGAGGAGGAGGAAGAAGAGGAAGAAAAGCAGGGGGAGGAGGAGGAGAAGGAGGAGGAGAAGGAGGAGGAAAAGGAGGAGGAAAGGAAGGAGGAAGAGAAGGAGGAGGAGGAGGAGGGAGAGGAGGAGGAGGAGGAGGAGGAGGAGGAGGAGGAGGAGGAGGAGGAGGGGGAGGAGGAGGAGGAGGAGGAGGAGGAGCTTTCCGAAGCTTTCCCCCGCAGCCCCGCTGGCTGTCGCGCGGCGGCCGCGCCCGACGCTCCGCGCGTCGCGCGGCCACAGCTCGGAGGGCCGCGTCCCTGGGGACCGCCCTCTCTCCCTGCGCGTCTGGCGGAGGCGCAGGGAGCGTTGCTGACGGGCTGGTCCATCAGCGTGTTCGCGGTCCGCACCCGAGATCCTCAACACCCCGCGGTGGACCCCCAAGGTGAGGGTCACACTGGGCATCCGCCACGACATGCCTTCCAAGGGGAACGGCAATACGGCCAGTCCTCTGCCCATTCTCGTGCTGGTGCTGGTCGTGGTGCTGCTGGTGCCCGTCGTGCTGGCTGGCTGCAGCCAGGAGTCGAAGCACCCATCGCCGCCGTCGTTGCTCTGGGCACTCTGTCGGGTCGGTACTCACATCCATCCTCGTCGGAGTTGGTGTGGTGCGTTCCCGCTGGCTGCTTCCCGCGCCGTTGTCAGTCAGGTCGTGTCCGTCGTGCTGCTGGTCTCGGTGCTTGTCGTGCTGCTCGTCGTGTACGTTGCCTTGCCGTGGTTTGTTGCCGTCGTCGCTTGGGGCGGCGGAGGTCGGTGGGCGCGGGCGTTCAAATGCTTCTCCACGCTGGCCTCCCTCTACCGCCCCCGTGGGCCTTCGCAGGGAGTACGCGTCCTCCCCCTCGGCACGTTCCATCGGGTATCCGTTGAAGTGTCCGTGGTTGTGGAGGTCGTGCTGGCGTCGGATGTGGTCGTACTGGTCCCGAGGCTGCTGGGCGTCGTCGTGCTGGCCTTGTCGGCAAACCGTAGGCGACGAATCGCCAGTCGGGTCGGTACTCACAGCCATCCTCATGGGAGGTGGTGTGGTGCGTGCCCGCTGGCTGTTTTCCGAGCCGCTGTCAGTCATGTCGTGTCCGTCATGCTGCAGGTCGTCTCGGTGCTCGTCGTGCTGGTCGTGGTGCTGTTGGTTGCCGTTGGGCTGGTCGGTCGTCCCAAGTCTCTGCTGCTGCTGCTGCTGCTGCTTGTGTCGGCAAACCGTAGGCGACGAAATGAGGAGTAGGAGGAGGAGGAGGAGGAGGAGGAGGAGGAGGAGGAGGAGGAGGAGGAGGAGGAGGAGGAGGAGGAGGAGGAGGGGAGGAGGAGGAGGAGGAGGAGGAGGAAAAGGAGGAGGAGGAGGAAAAGGAGAAGAAGGAGGAGGAGGCGGAGGAGGTAGGAAGACGAGGACGACGAGGGCGAGGTCGAGGACGAAGACGAGGAGGAAAACGAGGATCTCCGCGGTCCTTCGAAGGCGGCCTCCGACGGCCTCGGGGGGTCTCCGACGACGGCCCTGCCCCATCCCCGCTTGTAAAGCCGCGAGCTGGGCAAGATGCTGCTGCCCTCCCTCGCGTCGTCCTGGTCGCGCCGGCGCCGGGCGCGCAGGCCGGCGGACCCCGCTGGGTTGGGGCGACCCTGCCTCCTGCTCGCGTTTGGCAAACATAACTATAGCTGGTGAGGCTTCGGGCCGCGCAGAGACAGCCCCCCACATAGTCCTGGCTGGCCTCGGCAGGCCCCCCCGAGTAGTCCAGGCGGTCTCAACATCGCCAAAACCGCCGCCGGAGGTACGCCAGGGTGTTGAGATTTGAGGCCGCCCCAAACTACTCGGTAGGCCAGATGAAACCAGCCGGGACTTCCTTGGGGGGGTTGTCTGCGCGCAGCCCGAAGCTTTACCGTTCAAATTCACGCCCTGACGGCTTAGACTCCAGGGCGCGACCCTAAGGATGCGCTGTCGCGTGGGTGCGCTCCGCGCGGGGCGCTCGCGAACAAAAGCGCCCCGCGTCCATGGGCTCGCGGCCCAAGGGCCCTGGCCCGCGAGGCCGTGGATATGGAGATCCTTCCCGCCCGCGACTTGCGGCGCCCGGTATAGGGGAGGGGGGCGATCGGGGATTGATTGCCGAAATTGGTCGGCGTTTTTTGGCCTTCTGTGGGTCTCAGGAAGCCTCCGCGGAGACCTCCCGCGGGCGGCCCCCGAAATCTTTGGAGACTTCGGCTCCCTTCAATTCCAGTCCATTCCCGTTTGCCCTCCTCGTCCATTGAAGCCCTCCTTGTGCCTGCCTCCGGCTCGCTGGTCTTTTGCCTGCTCCATCTGTTTTCCTCCCCCGCCGTTGTCGTCGCTACCACCGTCGTCGTCGTCGTCGTCGTCGTCGTCGTCGCGGTCGTCGTCGTCGTCGTCGTCGTCGTCGTCGTCGTCGTCGTCGTCGCGGTTGTCGTTGTCGTCGTTGTCGTCGTCGTCGTCGCCGCCCCATTTTTCCTCCTCCTCCTCCTCCTCTCCTCCTCCTCCTTCTCCTCCTGTTCTTTCTCCTCCTGCTTCTCCTCCTCCTACCTCCCGAGCCAGGCTCGATGCAGGGCTGCGCGTTTTATTGTTATCTGTCGGGGCGAAGCAGCATCGCACGCCAATTTTATTTGGGTGATCTCAACCTGCGCCTTCCGCGCGCGTGCACGCTGTGCATTTTCTAAAAACCTTGTTGAGTAGAACCCCGCCGCGCTCAGCGCGGACAGTTTCTCATAGTTTCTGCAGTACGTCATTGCCTGATCTCAGGATAGCTGCGAGGAAAAACAGCACAA